GGGTGGCTGTGCCACAGGTTGGAGGGTGCTGGTGAGGAGAGCCGGGCGGCTGCAAATACCCCCAGACCCTCGTGCTGCTGCACATGACGGCCAAATTAACACGCTCCGATCCAGTCCCCAGTATGTGCTGGTCCTCTAGCAACCTACTGCCTCACACCAGAGGTTCTGTCTGGGCCAGTAAGGGCCTGGGCAAGATTATAATAAAGCCATACTTCCATTTCCACACTTTTTTTCCCCCCTTATATTTATGGCTTCATTTCAATAGCCAGAGGTGTCATCATTGTTTTTCATCTGCCAGTTAATTTTTGAAATCGTGTGCTTTTGGCTGCTATCCTGTCCACAGGCAGTATGCTCCATAATTCAACTATCTATTGTACAGTGAAACACTTCTGTACTCCTTTTGTTTTCGGCCTGTCCCTTGGTAAGCTCATGTGATGCTAGCTAGATCTTGTATTACAAAAGATGGTGAATAATCAGCCCCTGCTGACCTTCTCCATGCCTCTCATGATTTTATTGACTTTTATCATAGCCTCTTCAGTCCAGCCTAAGAATAATCCTAGTTTATTCATAGTATAAAACAAATCTTCAATCATCCATATTATACCCTTTCCAATTCTATATCTCATTTCATGAAAGAAAAGAGAGAAACAGAACACAGTATTATCCAGTGTTTTAATGAAGTTCTCAACTTTGCTGTCTATGCCTTTCTTATTAATTCTTAACCTACTTTTACTTGTGTTGTGCTTATCATCCCAGAGCCTCTAACTACCTCTGCTGGTTTCTATTAAATAACAAAATCTACACCTGGTTCAAGTAGGCCTAATTGAATGAGAAGTTGTACATGTGAAATCAGGTACATTCAAATAGAACCATTCATATGCTGAAGTGATTTGGCAGTTGCCAAAAACTTCAGCTTTACTCTCTAAATCTTATACAATGAAGTTGTGTCCAGATGTGCACAAGCATTATTAATAACACAAACTTCAGCTGTTTGTATTATTTGCTTTTTGTGTAGAACAAAGTAGAATAAATGGAATTAAAGGGAACATTGTGTATGAACTTCTGGAGAGACTACATCATTCTCAAGACAGTATTTTTAACAAGTTCCTAAATGTTTACAGACAGAAATGTGATTTTTAACTTGAGAGTGACACCACGAAAAAGCAAGTAGCACATGGCTTTAGTAATTTCCTTGTAGTGCTTTTGTTAAATGGAAGTGCTCTCAATTCTTCTGTCATTACAAATTGTAGTAAATTGCAGTGCTAAATTAGTAATGGACACAGGCATGATCTTCAACCATTCAATTAGGCAACTAATGAATCATTCTGTGCCCTTGATTCAGACAGCATCTTTTGTAGCACTGAGAGCTAATTCCCTTTCCCCTGGTGCAGCACCTAGCAACTTCATGCGTTTGCTTTATAACTGTAAACGTTTCAGTACACTAAATGATTAGGAGAACACTCTGAGCTTATTTTTTCTCTTGAGCCTAATGTTCAAAATATTACAGGCATCTATAAATAAACTAGGCTACAAAATGTCAAACAAAATTGTCAAATATTTACTTGGGCTTTAACAATTAAATAACGTGACATTGTGTTCCACTGAAAACCGACTGAAAAATTAGACTGAACATATTTAATGGAATTCTAGTATTCACAGCATCACAGACTGGTTTGAGTTGGAAGGGACCTTAAAGCTCACCCATTTCCAACCCTCCTGCCATGGGCAGGGACACCTTCCATTAGAACAGGTTGCTCCAAGCCCCTTCCAGCCTGGACTTGACTTTTAAAACCCAAAATATGTGGCAATCTTTATGACAATTGATTTTCAATCAAAGCTGAAGTTTTTTGTAGGTTTTGTACTCTTAAATTTTTCAAATTATGTTAATTCAAATGTAATTTCCAACCTTTCTTCTCAACCATAGAATTATGAATTTAAATAAGCATTAATGGAAAAACGTAATACATTTGCATGGTTCTGGATAAATATGCCTATTAGAGTCCTGTCTAAATAAGCAATACAGAAACATCCCTAAGAGGATAGGAACTAACCACAGATTAAAGAAATAATCTTTTCTGTCATATTTTCAGACAGTCCTCTAATATAGACACATTTTTTTTCATGGTTTTCTTGATAGGATTTGGTACTTTGTGTAAAAACTTAAGGAGTGAAAAAATACCAAACCCCTGAAGCAAGAGGTAACTTCTGAAAATACCAACTTCTATCTTACACATTAAGAACCATTAGGAGTTTTGTTCCTTTATTTCTGTTTTGGAAGAGGAGGGGTGCAAAAGATTGCTCTTCAGTAGCTATTTAAAGTTCTCAGTGCATGCTGGTTTCCTGTAACAAGCACCTCAGGGTTAGTAGGTTATTTAACCCTGTGTGAAAAAACAGCTTTGCATACATACTTTGTAAACGGCTATGGGCTTGGTAATGCTTCCAGAGAAGTCTTTAGAAGTTCTGCCTTTGCTTGCTTTGGAGGCCTTACATGTTTCCTAACCACTGACAATCGTATGCCCACAGGATGACAAATGGACAGAGGCGATATGGTGTTAGGGGTATTGTAAGGGGAGATAATTACCTTGTACTTTTCTGTCTGCTTTCCAGTTGGTGAGGTTCTGTGCATCACAGATGGAACCATGAACAGTCCTGTTATTGGTTGCTCTATTTGCAACACTTCAAGAGCAATACTTTTTGTATTAACATATGCATAGGTCACCAGTACTGCCCTTAGCTGTATAGTGCTGTGTGTGCCTCTACACCTGATTCTTTCAGTAAAGGAGGAGGAACAGCATTACTGGGAGACAATTTTCAAACGTTTAAACTGTTTTTATAGGTATAATACATACATGAAGTCAGTTGAAAGAAAAGGGATGTTTTTACTTGCAAATTATTGTACTAAACATAGGCATGTGACTTATCTCAGCACTCTTGTGTTTCCTCTATTCATGTGACTTAGGGTTTAGGTTACTCAGAAGAAAAACCTCAACATTTCCAAATTGGCTTTGTTTCAGCATATAATTAGGAAATGGTGAAGTAAACCGATGTGACTGTAGCATATATGAGATGGTTCATACTGTTCTTCAACTGATTTCTAAAACAGTGGGCCTCTCCTCCTGTCCTGGAGGACTGTCTCTTTTATCCAGAGGTGTCAAGGTTGATTTCTAATTAGTCATAGAATCCATTTATAAAATGGGTCACAATTTTTTTTACATAAAATATACAAGGAGATGGATTAGAAATAGCTTTGCACTTTCATTTTTAAATAAGGGAAAATTAGCCGCTTTTAACCATCTGAATTGACATACACTCTAAGTTAAGTAGATCTAAGTGTTTCAGTACTATAACTAAGCATATTTTTCAGTCTAGAGGCTTCTTTGAAAGATTGTAACTGTGAAAATATATTGAATATTAAACATAAATATACTGCCAATGTTTGTAGCCCTGTATTTGACAAAAAGACTGGAAGAATGAGGGCACAAAAACCTCCTTTCTCCTCTATATTCACTATAAATAACTTGTGAGGGTTTTTTAATCTTCCAAAAACATCATCCCTTACAAGGCAAAAGTTTCAGAATTCTGAAACATTAATCTGCTTTGCATTGGTATTATCTTTACTTTTTAGAAAAAGTGTAAGATTAAATTGCTACAGTTTTTCAGATGGATTAATGAAGGGGCTGTACTTGAAATAATGACCAAACAACAGAGAAATGCAGTAACATTCCATGGGTGCAGCTTGTCACCAGTGGTCTGCAAGATCCAGAATGACAGAAAAAAGAGCCCGAGGCCTTATAGAATTATTTTTCTATTTTGATTGGAGTGAAAAAGAAAAATGCATTACAGCCATCTCCAAACTAAAATTCAGATTGGAAGCTAAAATTATATTGATTGCTTCTGGAGTATTTGAGAACTGTGTAACAAAACAGAAAATGCTGTTTCTCAGTCTGAGAATGACCATCTCAAAGCCAGAATGACCACTGAAATTGCAAATTCACAGGCCACGATATGTTTCTTTTAATGCTTACACTGGTTTAGGCCTTTCATTGGGAAAGTCTCAAGATATAACACTTATTTTATAAACTCACCATTGCATCTTAAAGCATCCTGACAGTAAATGTGCTGTTCACATGTGCAGGCAGACAGGCCATAGCTCCTGTAAGAGTTCATCAGAAGTAGTTATGTCCTGACAATGTTCTTGATTGTGCAGCCTTTTTCTGCCCTATTAAGTGCATCTGCTTTCCACTCGTAAGTGTTAAAATTAGAACAGCATCCAAATACTGTAAGTGCTTTTTAGACATTTTAAAAGTAGTTCCTCTCCCAATCCATTTAGAGTCTTAACAGTGGGAACATGGAAGACAGAGGACATAAACTGAAAGTCCCATTGTCCTTATCCCAGTTGAATCCCAGCCTCCAGCTGTTCAGTAACAACATCAAGCAATTCTTAATACTTCTGACAGAGTTTGGACCATTTCGATTTAGTTGTTCTATTGTCTGCTATCTCTGTGCTTTCCACGTGATGGTGCTGGCAGTTATTTGGTGGTAGTGTGCTGTCCTGTCTATGCTGTGGGCAGCCTGTATTGCATTTCCTTCTTCGCAATGGGTCTGAGCCTTTTTTACACTGCTGTTCTCGTCCTTATTCTGGATATTGGGAAGAAGGAGAGTAAATGAAACAAGAGTAGCCTTCTATACAACATTCTTTCCAGCTGTGTGGTTGTTACATGCTACGATAAGGCATACATTATCTTTCCAAGTTTGTCCTCCACAGAGCCACACTGAGAAATTAACTGGCAATAGAAAAGCACAGAAATGCTTTGTGCAGCTGAGTAGTGGTTTACACTTAAGGACATTGGAACAAATGTTTATAACTGGAAAATTTTCACCTGTACTCTTCCACTGAAGCTCAGGTCCTTAGCTTTCTGTAAGGGAAACCCCTACCCTAATTTAACCTTGCATTGTTTTGGATAATCAGTGTCGATACTTAATCACCCTGGAAAGAAGCAGTATTTCCAACTATTACATATCATATCAAAACACAGTTTATGGTTTACAATTATGGAACATACCTTTGGCTGTGTATGAACTTACTACTATAATGATAAACTACATAAAAGCATGGGCAAAATTCTCACTCATGCATGATGCATTCCATTGTCTGTACAGTTTGTTGATGATATGTATCTTTCTCTAGAGAAATCTGAAAAAATGTCACAAGCAAAGGCAAAGAAACAGAAAGGTGAAAAGGCAGCTAAGAAATCCCCGAAGGGAAAACAGCCTGGTATGTAAGGTACAGCAGCAATGAAACAAGCAGTAATAGGATCTCACATAAGAGCTACTTTGATTAGTTTGGGCCATTGCATTTAAGTAAACATGAGATAAATTAGAATATGTTATTTTATATAAATGAGAGATCTACAGTTAATGAGTATGGTTTTGTAACCAGTATATGGAACATAACAAAGCTACATTGCAATATTTACACTTTGTCTTGGTAGTTTAGATTTAATAATTTCTGGTGTCATAATAACAGTATTGAATGGGAAATTGGGAGGTTTAACATACATTAAGTGGGGAGATTCACAAAAGGTAACAACCCAGGGAGAGAACATCAGGCAGAGGGAGGTGTCCCCAGAAGCAGGAGTTCCGGGGCTCAGGATCACACTGTACAGGTACAATAACAGAGCTTGAAAATATACTAAAGTCTCACAACTCAATTTCACAGTGCATTTTATTGTGTTTTTTTTTTCTGAGATGTGCTGAAGTGCTATCTCACTTGTGTCACTTATAAAGTGTATATATTAATGAAGTGTAAGGCTAATGAGCCTTTGCTGTATTTTTTCCAGTGGCATGCACATTCTCAGAACAGGTGGAGATGTTCTTTTGCTTGGGTTTTATTTGGTTTGTTTCAGCATTTTTTTTTTCTGCTGTGACAGCCACCTTCCTTAAGTTGCTTTTGCCTTTTAACCACCTTTTCCCTCCTACCTGATTAACAGCTGCTGTGCTGCAGAGAATATTCTGCACGTCACTGCTAATTTCTTCCAGTCCTACCTTGCTATGAGGTTCACAGACCCTCTCTTAGGAGCTGAAGAAAGCCTTGCTCCTGCAGCACCCTGGTACTAGAGCAAGCCTGCCCACCTCACCACTGTCAGAGGGGACTAATGTCCACTCCTGTCTGCACGTCTGTCAGTTCTCCTACTGCCTGATGTCAGCAAGCCTTGCCCATTTATCTCCTCTTCACACAGGAGCTGCCCCAAGCAGGTACTATCAGGCAGCAGTCAGTGCAGTTTCCAACCATGGAAACTGCAGTGTGCACCACAAGATGACAGATTTCATATGGTTTCTATCTTAGGCAGACCACCTGCTCAAAATAAAAATGATTTTTAGATCTCCATAGTTTCAAAATATGCCAACATCTCCTTAAGATACAGACCTATTTTGAAAGGCTTTGCTCATTTCTCATGTTAAATGCAAACTGAGTAGAAATGATTTTGTTTCCTCTTCACAGTTTACTTTTAAATCCACATAGAGATTTTATATATTGCCTAACAAGAAAAGGACTGTATATTTATAGTTAACTTTGTTAGGAAGAAACTTTACTGGTAATGTCATGTCATTATATTTCAGATGAAAAAGATGAAGTTGATCTTTCTATGGCTAGTATAGGTAAGTGCTATGATGACTAGGCTTTCAAGTAATAGTTTTGGAACACTTTAAGCGTTTTGAAGCTTCAATGTTACTAAAGCCAGGGAATGAAATTGAAAGATTTTTTATGAATGAGAAAATTTAGAAACTATGAAGAATTGCAGCTATTACAGTAGTGATTACAGAACTGCTTTCTGAGTAGCAGGCAGTTGCAGCAAGGACTGCAAAAAGAGGTATGGGTTTGTAGAAGATTTTATCTTGGTTTGAGAGGATCTGGGATCAGGGAAAATAAAAAGCATTGCAACAGAATTATAGGGTGAAAAATGTTTGCATTTAGTAATAGTTAAGCAATTGAAAGAAAAACTTGAAATATTTTTATAATTTTAAAAACTTTGATCTTTGTCAAATCACTATTAAATTTGGTGAGAAGATTATTTTGGCATATCACTTGCTGGTTTTAATCACAGATGTCAATAGACATTGAGCAACATATTTTGCTTGGTAGGGGAAAAAATCTGCCTTTAAAAGTCGCAGAGATATCAAGCATTTCTTTTGCACTTGCCTTCTTACATGGGTAGGACAGGTAGACACACATGGAGGTGTGAAAATCGCACTTTGATTAGCATCAACGAAATGGCTAAGCTGCAGTTAATGAAAATGGACAATAAATGATCCCGCAGATGATAAAAGTGTTACTTTAAAAATAAATTAAAATTTGTGTTTTCGGTGTTCCCGGAGATACTTCGTTTTGTCAGTAAGAGAGAATTTTACCTCCACCTAGTGGCAAATACGGTTATAGCCGTAATAGCTGAACTATTGCTAAAAACTTGTTGCTAAAAGCAGGAAAATAATGCTACTATATGCAGACACTGTCTGTGCGCAGTATCTCCTTAGCATAAGGCCTGCAAGTGTTCTTTACTTCTCTGAGAGCTTCTTGGTCCTTTGTGAAGTTCTCATAGCACTAAGAGCTGTTGATTGTTACAAAAGTTATGATAAAATATACCATCAGAAAAACAATGTGAAGCCTCTGGTTAGATGCTACACAATTTTTATGGAAAAAGAGCATTCACTAAAAATGTTCATAATAGTAAGAATTCCAGTATCAGCCCCTTGTGTTAGACTAAAAGATGTACGTGTTTTAATTTGGATCAGTAATTTGTTTTTAACTTGGACTTCCAGCAAGAAAGCATTGAAGAAAATAGACTTATACTTTCTGTCCAACTCTACTCCCTCTTGTAGTCGTGTCTGTTGTATTTCTGCTTAACTTTAAAGCATGCTTGTATTGTTTCCTTTTACACTGAAACCCACATCTCTTTGAGAAGATTGGGGTTTTTTAGCATTAGCATTTATGGAAAGGCTGTATGCACAATTCATCATTTTAAAAAATAACATCATAGAAGCTTCTTGAATAAACTGGTTAGATTTTTTTATGAATAGAAAAATAAAAATCTAATTGCTTGGGTTAATTTTATTTGAGACTATTAGGAATCATCTTCTGAAAAAAATCACCTAAGAATCAGCTAACTGTTTATAAATTTTCTGTGCCTTCTAGCCCTCCTAATTGCACTAGCCACATCACCAACTCTGAGCACTGTGATATGTACAAACTTCTTGTTCCTTTGCTCTGCTGTCCATTGTGTCCTGTGAGCCAGCTCTGTACAGCAGAGGATGGAAATAACATTCACTTCTGGTGTGCAGCTCTAGGTTTCTGTCCTCTTTCTATCCTATGAAATTTAATTTGCAAAAGGAAGACTGATTTTTTTTGCTCCAACATACGGAAATGTACAGTGTATCTGTAGTGTTGCAGTTTGTGCCAGGGTTTGAGTCTGCTTCCTAATAACATCCTAATGAGGCCTCATGCCCTTGGCTACAGTAACCTGGGAGTCCTGCAGATTAACTTTTGCAGTTCCTTAAAGGCATGAAATGTTTCAAGTCACCCTGGAATAAACACTTTTTCTGAGCCTGGTCTCATAGCCAAATTGATAAGCAAAAGAATCTAGCTCTTGGCCTCATTACGTACAGAGAGTAGAAGTCAAAAAGGCAAGCACAGGGACTCCTGAAGATAAAAAAGACCTGGCTTGGCCTGGTCTTATCAACAGTGAGCTTGAACCAAAAGACTTTCAGAGGTTTTTCCCAATCAACATCCCTCTGATTTTGTATTATTTGGAAGCATCCACACGGAAATCTTGAAAAGCACCAAAATATCAAAAGGAAAGTCATGCAGTATTGACCACAACTTGTGAAGAAAGTGAACTAATGGACTGTGCATGCTACAAATGGATTGTGTACACTACAAAATTACTAGTGAATGCTAAGTAAACAATACTTGGTATAGTGCATGGTGTACCAGAAGTATCAAGCATGTCATTAGTTTTAATGCATGACTATAGTGGAGTGGATGCAGAAGAGGAATAGCACTGAAAAATTTTAAAGAATATATGTCAGAATCATCAAACATTATGTATTATGTGATAGCCTTATGCAGAGATTTAGCTTCCTGAATGATGGAGATTAAGGAGAATTTATCATTTTATCAGTCCTTGTTGGCTTAGGTTAGAAAAGGCTTTTCAAAACATGCTGTGCCAGCTGGTCAATATCATCATTTTATATCTATCACCTTCAATTTAAGGCATACACAAAGATAAAAATACCACAGGTGCTGGGAATTAAGATAAAATGTGAAATAACTGAAACTAAGAAAAGAGAATGAAACAAAGATTACAGATACTGTCAGCTATCATCACAGGCAGCAGGATTCAACTAGCTGGGCCTATAGTGATCTTAAACACAGCTGTTATGTAAGCTGGAGGGCAAAACATGTAATATGGGAAGAACCAGTGCTACATACATACAGCTGACACACTTACCAAGAGGCACTGTGTATTATCTTCAGACTGAGTGTTCGCAAAGCGCAGCTGACAGGTCATCTCACTGCGTCCAGCCTCACTAGAACCAATGAAGATAGCAGTGACAGAGGTAGGATAAGAAATAGCTTGTTCTGAATTAAAATGAATGAACCTAATGGAGGCTATGTTTGTAGAAAACAACAGATGTATATTCTCCAGCAAAGCTGAAAATAAGTATCTGACTTGAATCTTAGTGACCTTGCTTTAGTCTCGCTTGCTTAATGCAAGAAAGACTCAACTGCACTCAGAACTCAGTGAGACGAAGATGAAAGTCCAAAATCAGAAAAACATCTTTATTTGGGAGGGCATTGAAGCCTCACCTAGATCAAACATTGCCTTAACATGGCAACGTTCTACAGCGAAGGATTAGAGTGTATTTGTTCGCAGGCTCTCTTAAATCACAGCCAGGCAGTTGTGTTCTTAATGTATTAAAACCAGTCCATTTAATGACTCTTCACTGAAGTTCTTAATGACCTGTTAATCAAGAGGAAAACAAAAACCCTTATACTAGGAATAACATATTCATTAAGTAGGAAGCATTAGCTAGAGTTTTTTTCCAAGATTAAGAAAATGTAATACAATATTTACTCCATGCCTTCCAAAATACCAAAAACTAAGCCAAGAGATTCAAAGGCATTCTGCTAGGAAACAGTAAAGGAAGAGTTATTGAAGTACATGTTTATGTTCAAACAACACACTGAATTTGTTCATCAAGGAATTTTGCTTTCTTTTACAGGCCACCCAGAAATCTTTCCTTTAGTTCTCACTACACAGACCCAAGCAATTTTCAATTGCCGAGTTGATGAAGATGTTACAGAAGAAAATTGTTTCAAAATCATTAAAAAAGAGGACATCATTCAGGACCTGAAAAGAAGAGCTAAAATTTCTGATTTTTACCCTATCAAAAATGTTATCCTAGTATGTAGCTTATTTCGTTCTCACTTTAAGACTTCATGCTCTCAGAGTATATATTATTTAATGATAAGGTTTGACCTTGTTTGACTCTGTAAAAAACTAGCAGTGTAATATCCAAAGGCTACAGGTCTTGGACCAATGTCAACTCAAAGTTTTTCATGGCTCACCATGCACAGTTTTGTTTGGTTGTTTTTTTTAACTAACTCTATATTTGATATATGTTAGAAGTAACACAAATATTATTAGCTTTGATTATCTGAACTGGCAGAGCTTCACATAATCTGGCCTCACCTAATCCATTGCCTATTTATTAAGAATCATTAAAACAGTTTCTTTTCAATTCTTGGTATGAAAAGATTAGTTGGCCCCAAAATAATTCTTATTACAAAATAAAATCCACCTGTTCTTTTCAATTGGCACATGTAATCCTCTGTTAAGACTTAAAGATTAATCAAAGATACTGAATTTACACGAGTGCTAGCTTTGCCAGTCACAGGCTCATGTCTGTTTTATATGTTACTTGCTCTCAGTTTTCCACTAATTGTTTTAATTAAAATAGGAATATCCAGGGGAAGAACTTTTGGTAGTTTTAGATGCAAATTTCCAGTATGGACAGAACTTTTACCTTGTTGCTTCTGAGGAAGCCAAGGAAAACCTTCTGAAGGTAAGAAAATACAAGTATACCTCAACACTGTTCTTTCTATGAATATTTCAGAATCTTGTCTCAAACATATACCGGTATTGTATTTGTAAGCATCTGATGTGGTTGGCATGCCAGAACGTTTCTCTAAAGGTTAATCTGATCAAAGAAAAACACATGTATCACTGTAAAAATGTCTCTTATACTGAGAAAGACTGAATTAAATTTTTGTATTTTACTTCAGTGAGCCACTATAACCCCCACTGCTGCATTTTATCATAAGCTCATAAGCATTAATTTCCTCTGCCAATACCCAGGTTTCTTAGCAAGACATAAAAAGAAAAGATTATACTTGGCATCTTCAAAGAAATATTATACTTATTATTCACAATATGTATGTATATATAGTCTTCAAATCATACTTCAGAATGTTCTTCAGTTCTAAATAATTCTACATACATAGAAAATTTCCCCTTGTGCACTGCATCATAGGAAAAGGCTTATGGGTATGTAGATTATATAATTTTTCAACATGAGTTTGTAACTCAGCATCAGGAGAAGAAATGACTAATAGAAAAGCAAATTGCAATTCCAGGCAGGAGGGCCTAATGTAGGACATCACTATAAATTCTTTTTATATGACAGTGATTTGCTTTCTAGACAATGGTTTCTCTTTAGTAGTTAAATATTAAATATGTAACATGTATTGGAAAATTCTAATGCACAAATGAATGAATGGGACCTAACCCAATCGTACCCAGGGGCACAGAATAGCCAGACTTGCTGCATTAAGATAAAGAATGTGTGGATAAAGACTGAAAACTGTGTTTCTAGTTCATACTTACGTTTAAGTAACAAATTTTTGCAAAAGTACCATTTCTCACTGTTTGATATCACAGCCCCCAGAAACTGCAGAAGAAAAACAAGAAGAAAACGAAGAAGAAAATATAGAGGAGACTCCAGAAATTCAACCTTACAGGCCTCCTGTCCAAAAACCTTGGGTTTCTCTTGGCAGCGAAAAGGAAGTTGAAGAAGAATCTGTTAAAGACACTGTTACAAAGGTCAGAATCAACAGATGTTAGTCAGTCAAATAAATAGTAAAAAATAAATAATTTTAAAAAATTAAGTTCCTTAAAAACAAGTTCAGAAAAAGGGAAGTTACAATCCTAGGTTTGCATGGGGTCTTTCAAGAAAACAAACAGAAATATCTCAACTTTTAAAAAAACCTGGAAGTGCTGCAGTTGCAGATTTTCTTTTTCTCTCTTAATTCTCTTCTGTTTAAATCCTGCAAATAAGGCATGTGAGACTGCATTGGACATATCTACTTCTTAAGCTGTAAGTTCAAAAGTCCTGATCATCTTTGGCCAGTAACATCTCTGCCACTTTTTGCTCAAATTCATATCTGGCCAAATTACAAGTTGAGTCACTGTAATTATATCCTAAAGACCTAGTTCTAGTTCCATGGAGCCCAGTGAACTCTTGTTTCATGATATGGATGGCATTTAAGAGGCATGCAAAACTTTCAAGGGCTCTCTACTTCAGAATAAATATTCCTGACTTACAGGTATTACAGGGTGACATTACAGAAGGACATACTTGATTAACCTCACCTACATATTACACTGAGAAAATTATGTCCAAAAAGTAGAACTACTCAACAGCTGCCACCTAACTTGTGATGTGTGGGGCATCCCCAAGCATTTAACTGTCCACCTGTGATTTTTACCCAATACAATCCCTGTTCGGGGAAAACTGGTAAAGTTTTGATAGTTCAGTGCAACTGGACATGTTGCTTATACTTAAATAAGATGTCCGACTGTTCTACAGCTAATTCACAGTCATGAAATTCAATCAACATTCACAGCCCAAGTATTCTTGTACCTTGCTGCCAAAGTCCACTCAGAAGTATTTTCAACCCACATTCCTTTCCAGTTCTGTGGGAGGTGCCGGGAGAAAGTACCTGGCTATGAATCCAAGATAAAGCAATACCTTTCTGCTGCCTGAAATCAAGTGCCTACCTCTCTGCCAAATCCCTTCCTTCCTAGTTCTCACTATAAAGAAACTCCTCACGCAAATTTTCATGGATCCTCTTCATTGTATTTTTCTCTCCCTAAACCCTGCAAGGGAAGGTGAAATACCTCACCCAATGTTGAAAACTGCACTAAGAGGGCAGAGCTGAAAGCCAGGTCTTGGAAGTCCAATGCAGTGTTACATAGGAACTGCAAATCAATCCTTTAATTAAAGGAGCAGTTTTGATATTACGTTAACTAGAAAATATAATTCTCTTATCCTACTAGACAAAACATTACTTAAAGGCAACTTCTTGTTTTAGAAATACAAACCAGTCTTTTACTACATATGTTATAGGTTATTTATATGAGCATTTCAGAGCTTCAAAATGTAGAAATGTAAGATTTTAGCACAGAAATCATCAACAGAACTAATTCCTCAATTATATAAATGCTACCATTTTACAAAACACACTTTCCAAAAACTTTCTCCTCTGCTAACTTACTGAAATACCTCTTTTCCAGATTAAGTATATGATTTCTCGAGTACGCAGGAAGTTTGGTGCACCAATTAAATTTACTGATAACAATGCTTCAGATGTAAAAGACAGTTATGTTGAATGCACATCCTATCAAGACAAAACTTTCAGTATTAAAATGCTTGAAAAAGATGTGGGCATACAAATGGTTCCAAAAGTAAGAGAAAGTAGTACTCAGACAAAATGGTAAGTGTGAGAAAATATTTATCTGCTTATTTATTAAGCTGCACACTGTTTCTGATCTCAATTAAAGTTATGTAAACTAAACCAACTCTCCTGGAATTTCTCAAACAGATTAAGAGAACAGAACTGGATGGTCTGTTTGTATCTTTCTTCTTTCACTTTTCCAAAGAGTTTTTAGAAGAAATGAATAGATTTAGCTTTTAATTTTACACATTACATGGGTTTCTGTCTTTGAAATAGTTTCTATACTCATTCACATTGAAATTATTCTAATTGGTTAGGACCTATCCAAAAAATGCAGCCACGCAATATTTTCCTAGACAGTTGTCAGATGAAGAGAAAGAAGAGTGTCTGTCATCTGAGAAGCTGAAAGAATTTCTTACATCAGTACATTTAAGGTAAAATTACTGCAGGAATACACATTAAAGGCTACTTGGAATTATATAGAATAGAAGCAAGAACTCTTGCTGGAGTGGACTACTGGTCTGGTCAAATACTAATTGTTTCTATATACTTTTTTTGTTTTGGCTTTGGTGGGGGCATTTTGTTTGTTTTTCCTCTTGCTTATTTTTTAACAGATACTAAATTAATATTTGTTTCTCTGAAAATTAACATGAAGTCTATGCCATATAGATGACTGATGGCTTAAATGGATTTTAGAACTGTTAAAGCTGATAGTGCTACATCACTAAAGCTGCAAAGCAGATCCTTCAAACACTGCTCACTGAAGCCGAGGTGTATGCAGAAGAGCAAAGATGCTGTCCTACAGCCTGTAGTCATGGGACAAATCCCACTTATCCACACTTTTTGCACAAGAATTTAACAATTGCACTGTACTTGATCCACACAGAACTAGAGTTAAATTCTTGGTACAATTAGTTATTTATATTTAGACGGAGTAGGGTTTCCTTACAGTGATGCATCACTGAGGAATTAATACTTTATCTTTTTTTACTACTGTGGTCATAATTTTGTGTAAAACAAAAGCTGCCTCTTTACAGAAATATTTGTGATTCTGCTACTGAGCAGTCACATCTGGATTATTTAAACTGTTAACTGTTCTTTCCACAAAACAGAATGGAAATTGCATTGCAGCAAAATGCAATTATGAACCCTTTTTTTGATGACTGGAAAGCCCTAGCAGAAGATGAAAGCAGTTCTGGTGGCAAGCCAGATGTTTATCTTCAAGCATACCAATCATTTACAGATCTGCGCTATCCCAAGGACAGAACTATTAGCTGTGTTTGCTGGCATCCAAACATTGATGGTAATGCAGTTAAAATATCATGTCATTATCTCATATCAAGACTTGAATTACATGTATTCTGAGAGCTATAAAATATGCACCTTTCATAAAATCAGCTTTTAAATTTAAAACCAAAACAGATTCAGTATGTCTGTCTCAGTTGCTGATTTGAGACAAAGTGGAAAATGAGACGGACAAATTTATAGATTTTGACAGGCCATGCAAAGTCCCTCACTCTACAGCGTAAGTGAAGATCATAGGAAAGGGAAATTTCTCCCTTATGAGGCTCAATTAAATGAGGCTTCAACTCTGCCAGGTCCTTCTTACGGCTCTGCAAACTACTGTCTTTTGCCCCATGGCTGGATGTCATATGCGTGCCTAATACTTGCTAGGAATGTTACAGCCACAATGGGAAACAGCTCTGCTGAGTGCTGGGGAGCATAACGAGGCATACTAAATGTCTCCTCCCTGCCATGGATTATTGCTTGACGCAGCCAAGCTTAAAGGCACAATTAAGTTCTATACTGCAGCCTGTGTAGAAAATTAATTCATCTACAGAAGATTTCATTTCATGGTGG